TCTGTATATACAACCTATAATTGTAATAAATATCACGTAAGAGTAAAAGAAAAGAGGCGTGGCTGTGTGGCAGAACACCCGCTTGCCACTCGCACGACCCGAGTTATATCCCCAGTCAGACGCAGATTTTTTATTTGTTTTAATTGGATCTTTCTCGCTTTTTTGGTCACACAAAGATTATTTTTTGCTCACAACCAACGAGGCTGACACCGATGTCGGTATTCTCGCGAAAAGTGCTCGTTAACGCTATGGTGTTAAAAGAAACGTGCCCTCACGCTTGAAAGGCGAACTGTGGTGCATCGACATGCATGAGAAGATTTTATAGTTGGCACCTTTTATTGCTGTTCGTTATACAGACTCGTCTTGAATTATCAATTTTGGTGAATCTTGCCACGCGCGTTTTTTATTTACTCTTGTGTTTCATGTGGTTTTCGGCCACAATGCCTCTCTGAAATGCTCAGTGCAGACTGCGCCTCTTGGCTTTAGAAGGTTCATGATTGTAATACACCGTTTTGTTAAGATTACGCCCATTTCATGGACATTACAGATTGTTCTATAACCTATGTCACCGCTAGCGATAACGCTAAAATATTCAATGTCAAGTGTATATATGCCGACGCGCTTCACCGCTTGTCAGTTGATCGACGGCCGACGCTCTTATCACCGCTATCAATACCAGTGGACATCAGTGTAATTGGACCTTCAGTGTAAGGGCCACAAGTTCGGCCGCATAAAGTTTCATCTCGTAATTACAATCTACTTCCTTCGTCCACGTCACGACCCTGTGACATCTGGTGGAGGTGCTGTTCGTTCATGTACCGGACGCCCCCTTCAAACCGTGAACCCAGCCCAAGTCGCGGAGACGACACTGATCCCAGCCAGGTGCAGTGAACAAGTCGCAGGCAGCAAGGTCTACCACCACAGTATGGGCCTCTACAAGACAAGACTCGGAAGATCAAGGCCATCATCTCAACTGTGGCGACAATGACAACCACTGCGTCACAGCCCGCGATGGTCAAGCATCAGCCAAGGGAGCCACCAACTTTCCGTAGGTGATTGTTTGAAGACCCGGAGATCTGGCTAAAGGCCTGAGTCTATGTGGCTGTCCTCAACCACTAGGGCACGGCCAAGAAGTTCCGGCGCATATACTTTTACCTGAAAGACTCCCCACGGACCTGTGTCGATAACGGGAAATCCGTGCTTCAAACGTGGGATCTCTTCTGCGGCACCTTCCTGCAAACGTTCACAATTGTCGCTCGCAGAGGGGGCCGCTGCTTTGCTGAAGACCCGGGTGCAGCTACCAAATGAAGATATCATCATTTTCACTGGAGAAATGACCCACCTGTTCCGTCACACTTACCCGGACATGCCTGAGGCGAAGAAAGTTTGTTTGCTCATGGGAAGGATCAAACAGGAGCTCTTCGCGGGATTGATGAGAAACCCACCGAAAACCATTAACGAATTTTTCTCAGAAGCGACGACCATCGAGAAGACTCTGGAGATGCGCACTCGTCTGTTTAATTGTGACTAGACGCCAGAGTACACAGTCGTTCAGCCAATCTGCAATGACAATCTGCGTGATCCATTCGAGTGATCATACGGGAGGAACTGCGCATGCTGCTACCATCGGCGCAGCCTCAAGCTTTTGTAATGTGCGGGAGCATTGTACTATTCACTCGTGACACTATTCGCATTGTGCGATGACTGGTTTTTGATTTGCTGTTTTCAAACGCTTTATAAGTCGTAATAACGCGACTGCTTTCCCGACATCAAGCCTGCCTCAGGCAAGTTTGCCAACAAGTTCCATGCAGCAGCTTGACTCGGTGGTAGAATACTGGGCTGGCACCCAGCGGACCGGTTTCGGGCTCCACTGTAGCATTGGTACTAGGTTTATTTCTAATTTCGTGCGTTTTGGTTACGGACACCGGTGGCGGTGGGAGTGGACAACTACAGCCGCACGTGACCCGAGTTTTCATCCTATAGTAGCTTTCGCTGTAAAACTTCGAGATGCATATCTTCAACTAGGCCGAATCGCAGTTCTGCCACGTCCGTGAGGCACATACCCGCTAGTGATATAAGTGTATGTGCCACACGCGTCTGGAGAAAAAAGTCTGACGACGTACGCGCGGACTCTGTCACTTCATAAATCACGACTTTCGAGTCATACTCGTCACACCGTCTAACCCTCTAATACTAATTTAGGTTTTCGCCAAGCTAAGGGTTTATGACGAAAGCACCCAGACGTAGGTGGCTTGACGGGTAGACAAACAGACAGACAGACAGACAGATTGATTTGATTGATTGATAATTGGGGTTTAACGTCCCAAAACCACCATATGATTATGAGAGATGCCGTAGTGGAGGGCTCCGGAAATTTCGACCACCTGGGGTTCTTTAACGTGCACCCAAATCTGAGCACATGGGCCTACAACATTTCCGCCTCCATCGGAAATGCAGCTGCCGCAGCCGGGATTCGAACCCGCGACCTGCGGGTCAGCAGCCGAGTACCTTAGCCACTAGACCACCGCGGCGGGGGGGGGACGGACAGACAGACAGACAGACAGACAGACAGACAGACAGACAGACAGACAGACAGACAGACAGACAGACAGACAGACAGACAGACAGACAGACAGACAGACAGACAGACGGACAGACAGACAGACAGACAGACAGACAGACAGACAGACAGACAGACAGACAGACAGACAGACAGACAGACAGACAGACAGACAGACAGACAGACAGACAGATAGACTAGACAGACAGATAGATAGATAGATAGATAGATAGATAGATAGACTAGATAGATAGATAGATAGATAGATAGATAGATAGATAGATAGATAGATAGATAGATAGATAGATAGATAGATAGATAGATAGATAGATAGATAGATAGATAGATAGATAGATAGATAGATAGATAGATAGATAGATAGATAGATAGATAGATAGATAGATAGATGATAGATAGATAGATAGATAGATAGATAGATAGATAGATAGATAGATAGATAGATAGATAGATAGATTAGATAGATAGATAGATAGATAGATAGATAGATAGATAGATAGATAGATAGATAGATAGATAGATAGATAGATAGATAGATATAGATAGATAGATAGATAGATAGATAGATAGATAGATAGATAGATAGATAGCTAGATAGATATAGATAGAAGATAGATAGATAGATAGATAGATAGATAGATAGATAGATAGATACCGACCGCCAAAAGCTGAATTGCCACGAAGTTCACATTTCTTTACCAATTTTGTACGCGTGCGCGTGCGTGTAGCCAACTGAAATGAAGGATATCGTTTTTCGCGTCGGGTAAGGAACAACAATGTGCCGCATTTGGGCTTGCAGAGGTGTACGTAATGGGTAAAACCCCAAGTTATTTTTCGTAAAGAATCAACACTGCTCCACCTACGCTTCAGCAGTGCTGGACCATATATGGCGACTAGCGAGATGGTTGCAGTACTTACAGCACCCTGCGACCTTACTAAACCACACGATCCCGCGGTCTGAACACAATTCCTAACGTCTTTACATGTCGTGCTCTCTCAGTGAGTTACATAGAGCACGAAGATCTCTTCTATTAGTGCAGCGCCCACTTTTAGAAAGAGCACGCCGCCTAATGAAGCTACAACTGGAATGGTTAATAATGCGTCAGCGTTAAAGAGCTCGTTTCGCTGAAATTCTGGCGTCGGCATCGGGCTCGTTGGTTGTGAGTGATGAATCAGCCTTTGCAAGACCGAAAAAATTGGACCTTGCAAAGAAAAAAATTTATGAAACAATTTTGAGTCTGAGAGATTGAACTAAGGTTACTTAGTTGCGAGTGCGGATTGAACCTGGGTCGTTCATGTGGCAATCGGATGTTCTACCACACGGCCACGCGTCCGCTTGTGGGTACAGTTAAAAGAACTTCCTCTACTTGGAAATGCAGCGACAGTATCTATGCTTACTAACACGCGCATACTGTGTACTAACTGTGCAATGCAATATGAAATGTAGCAGTAGTGCATCGTACAATCACGCAACGGCAGTGGGCGGTAGAAAATGTCATATTAATAGCTTCAAGGTTTAAAGCTTGTTATTCAGAAAAAACACACACACACGCTACTGGCCCTATTTCTTTAAGGCGACGTAGTGGGTGTATAGCAAGTTCGAAAAGGTTTGATGCACTAAGTGTTTGAAGCACACCTTAGGAACAAGATATACTTGAGGGTTCGTTTCGTGCGTCCTTTTTTGTTCTTTAGCAATGCGCTTTACGTGTCGAGCTGCGACAGATAGTTCCCGCTCATCTTGTGTTCCCAGTATGCGTCCTCCATTATTGAGCAGAACGTTGCATTTTTTGAAGCTGCTTGCCGTTCCTCGCGTGACATTCTAATTTGTTGTTATAGCATTGGTTCTATCAACCTTGTAGCGACACAATGCTCAATAAGCGCGTAGTTACTTATCTCTAGGCACGTTTCACTTTCGTGTTATACCATTTCTGTGATTGAAGGAAAAGCCTTATTTACGCTGTGGCTACAGGTCGACTCAATCAAAAGTTTTTTTATATATATTGTACCAGCTTCAGTTTTGCGTCATTCACTTTCACATCCACGGGAAAAACAAGCATGCACCGCTCGTTCCACATTACGTGCACGAAACGGCATTCGCGATAGCAGAAGGAATGGAAATACATTGTTCTATTGACACGCATATCAAGACTTGCATATGACGAAGGTTCCACGGAACTGCCTATTTTTTTTTTATTTTAGGTGTTACGTTTTCTGGTCTGAAGGCGCGAAGCCGAGATGGTGCTCAGTCTGCGAACATATCAGCGTGTTTTCTTACGTGTTCGATTACAGCAAATATTCGACTATCCTGGTCAGAAGGCAGCTATCTCACGATCGACAAGGATGCATGTCCTTAATATTGATGGTCTTGAAATCTCCTACGAATGCATATTTGAAGTTCAGGCAAATAGGAATATGCAACACATTCTACCCAGCAACCAGCAGTGTTTTATTAAACAAAAATATCTATTGTTTTCAAGGTGAAATTGCCTAACAAAGAGGTCAATCGATATCAAAACAAATCATATTTCAAATAAAGCAAAAAGCAAACATTAAAAATAAGGCCGTATATAGACACTTGTAGAGCTGGCACATAATCTACAACTTTCACAGCGTAAAACATCTTGCATTGAGTGGAACGTTTACTACACACGCATACTAAGTGATTAGGCCTCGTCAAACTGGATCTCGAGCATCAAACAGCCGTTCTTGAGGAAGTCGCCAGACCTCACGAAATCAAGTTTTACAGAAAAACCACGGTGAAAATGCACATATTTTTCCGTAGCTTGCGTACAGCCGCAGCCACTTTCGTTGGGGCCTTCTAGATCTAGGTCCACGTTATCAGGATGTTTAACTCTCACGGTCCAGTGATCCAATTCGCACCGAGAGTCCTCAAGGAGTCCGGTGAACCCAATATCAATGTAAAGCATTGTATCCTTTAGAGGTACAGTACTCTTCGAGATGACAACCGTGAAATATGTGTCCCTCGTGAAGGGCATTGTGACATCAGCAAGCTTAATAGATCCCGGCACGCTCGAAAAAAGTTCTTCGGCATTCCCGAAGCGCAATGCGTAGACTTGCTTTGAAATTTTATTGTTCAAGCCGTTTTCCGCGGATACTGCATTGCTTAAGCGGTAATACCTGTCGGGAGAATGCACAAGGGCCTTGCAGTCCACGGTCACAGACCGGTGTCCTGCAAGCTGAGTGACCATCTGTCGCATATGTTCGAGCTGGTTTATGGACATGTGGGCAAAGTGCTCCAGCTTTCGGAGAACTACTGCGCTCTCTGTCTCCGACAACAGAGATGCTCTGGCTGAGCTCTCACGTGACGGGATCGAAGAGACAACGTTGAACGATTTAGCCATGTCACTTTTCAATTTCAGCATAGACGCCTTGAAGTCACTAATGCCAGTGTTGAACCACACTTCGTGGCGTTTAGCATATTGTACAGCCTTATTAAGCAGTGTCATAATGGCTGGCAGTCCGCTACAAGTATCCTGCTGTAGCATTGCCGGGTCTTCCGACGAGTGCACAGGCGTTCCCGCTGACGACTCCGAGGGCGAAATCTTTTTGGCCGAATGTGAAGAGGCGGCACCACAGTCTTTCTCGAGGTGCTTAACCAGGTCCACGTGAAAGACGGGCTTCGCGCAGCGCAAACATTCCACAACGTGAAATTTGCAGTGCTCGTCGTAGTGCCACAGCAGTTTTTCCAAAGGGCCCACGAAGTGGCATCCCTGCACTTCATTCCAGCAATGAACCTTTAAACGAAAAAAATGATCTCACGTAAACATCACCTTTAGTGTAAGAGGTCAAACTTATCGCAAATACCGTAGCATTTAACGAAGACAGGTCACTTCACATGAGCAACAGAAACAGTGCCAAAACGTAAATTCGATGAATTACTTTGTGAGCAACTGGTATATTATCTGATGTAGTGAGTAATATACAAGTTAATTTTACTGCAGAACCCTTAACAAAGGTGTATATAGCAGCTCATTCAAATTACAAGGAGTAAACATAAGTTGGACAATATACCTCCCACGTGCAAAACTATCAGACCAGGAACATATTGCCGACTGTTTCTCACTTTCGCGAGCTCCGTTGAGTACACCCACCGAACATATTGGCGGATTTGGCCAAAACACTTCAGCAGGACTACATCCTTACGAGACGTAATCATAGGTGGCTACTCCCTTTAGGCTGCTATTTCGATTCTAGATTCTATACTCCGTTTGTAGTTGTTGCCAGCCTATGAGGACTGGTGAGATGCCTTTGTTTGCGGCGGAGAACTCTATCCTGCGCTCTCGTGACTTATCTGGTTACAGCCTTCATTCGGTATAGAAATTTGCAACTTCGTTATGAGAAGACGCGTGTTTTACACGTGGAAGCAACGGTTAAGTAGTGCACTTCCCGGTTCGCCAGACTGCGAGCACACAATGTGCCTCCTCATTTCCCGGGCTCTCTGAGCGGGCAGGGACACACGCAGCGGAGTCGTTCCGTGTTCCAGCTTTTGTGAAGGATCCTTGCGGCACAAGCAGCTACATTCACTTTAGCAAATTTGATATTGTTTGACGTCTTCGATACTCTTGAAGAGTTTACGTTCTTGTACGCTCTAAGAGATTACTGAATCTCAGAAAGTTGCATGGCAGCAGTGGCGTAGCCAGGGGGTGGCACGTCGGACCCGTGCCCACTCCTCCGATTGCTTTTCGCCATGGCAAACAAGGCAAACATAACCCAAATTGACCACTTATCTGACCGGCCCTCCCCTTCAGACCAAGCACGTGCCCCCCCCCCCCACTGAAAAAAATTATGCCTACGCCCTTCCTTGGCAAGCACATTGTTATGCGAAAGAGGCCCCGCTGGTCACTTGGGTAGCGTGTAGCGAGGACTAACGCCGGGCAGGGAGCATCCAGTCAGTGGCAAGACAAAAGGCATCTGGAAGGAATCAACACGCTTATATTTGCAACGTATGCACAAAACATGGAGGAGGAAGCCGCCTGAGGTTAAATGCGCCTGCCAATATAGGCACTGAGACGCTTGAGGAGGAGGGCACCACTCGCTGTTGGACGCACGCAGCGTCTGAGGCACGCGCCAACGTCGCCGTCGGACGCCTCCAGTGTGCGTGAATTGTGTCAGTATCTCTAGGAGGAAGGCCAGCAAGGGGGGCGAGAGAGCACTGCCCAGCGCGTATCAAGTTCAAAACCGCATCTCCGCCATGGTGGTGATGGACAAAAGCCTGCCGCCTGTGTTCAGAGGGTCACTGCTCCGGAGTCCGAAGTGCACGCTCTTCGAGATCCCCGGAACAGCTCAAGGCTCCGTATCATCGGCCCCAGCACACTTGTCCTGAACTCAGCACTACTATAAGGCGATACAACCCAAAAAACAACACTGCATGATTGGCTTCCCTTGCGACGGTTCGGAGAGCTCGGAATAGTTCTGGTCCTTGGGTTTGCTTTCAGCAGAAGCCCCATCTTGCTGATAGCTTCACTGAAGACACCCCTGTGAGAACAGCCCACAAATGCCAGACAACACACCCTAAAACCTGCCAGCTCAATTTCAAACGACCAATAAAGTTGGCAGGCGAGATGGACAAAAACTCACTGCCAAACGCATCAACCAGTACCTCAATTCTCAGGTTTCTAAGCAAAACATCATTTTGGGCCAATGACAAACTGAAAATACGTTAGGTTGAAGTTCAGAATTCATGCAGGCACTCTTGTCACTCCAAGCAGCCACTTAAGCCATTGATTGACTACAATGAAAGGCTGAAGCGAAGTACGTTTTCGCCTGATCAACTTTCCTCTTCTAATTCCGTCGGTAACAACGCCTCGCCTTTCTAGATATAGTCGGAACAAAACGAGATTTCTCACCATCGTGTGCAGCACCTGCTCTAAAAACAAGTCTAGCATCTAGCTCGGCAGTGCTTCCGGGCGTCGGGCAATCCACGTGCAGCGGGAGTGAGCCGCTTGCGTGAGTCACGGTTGGTGAATTGTAACTGATTCCCTGCAAGTTCCCGAGGCTTTAAAGAGAAATGGGTCATTGTGAGAATGATTGAAGCTAGTTCCCAGTTTCCGAACTCACCTTTGCGAATAATTGAAATACAGGCAGGAATATTCCGATCGGAGTCTAGCCGAAACAGCAGCCTCGACAGTGAACGCTCCGAAGTACCCCTGAATATCGACGCGTGCGAGAGGTACACAAACACTATGTTACAGCACCACCTGTTTAATTCATGCTCACTCGCCTGTGAAATCTTTGGAGCTGACATAAGATGCACACCTGCAGATGTTGGCCACGGAATCTCGAAGCACTCTTTAGCGCTTTCCGTTGACCACGAGTTTATCCATGAATAATTTAGGTAGCCTCAAGTTCTCTGCGTCGATTCTTACAAGTGATAACAGAACGCGTTCATTTCGGCAACCTGAAGCAAGGTGTCCCAGTTGAAGGGACTTATAGCATGTGATCGCCTTCTGTATTTAAAACCACTTGTTTTTCTCATCTTTACTAGGAACATTAGGTAGTGCCTGCTCGACCTCTTTCTTCGGCTCTGCGTTTTTCACGTTGCCTTCATGTTTGCAAATCTTCGCGGATCTATTCTCCATGCCTTGCATCAAAAATGCGTCGTGCGTCCACTTCTCAGTGCGTTGCAATGCATGGTGCGACGCGTATTCTTCCGCGAGCTCCGCGGCTTTTTCAGCTGTGGTCACATCAGACCTGTAGAGAATCCATAGGCGCATAGGATTGGTAATCATGTTGTAAAATTGCTCTAGCAGGGGGTTTCGTCAACCTTCGCTATGTGTCTATAAACTTCCAGGCTCTTAAGCTATTTCACAAAGAGGAGCTTCAAGTTGTACCCGAACTCAACGTAGGACTCACCCTTGAACTGTGTGGATTTCTCGAAACGCTGGCGAAACCCCTCTGGATATAGGCATTACATCTTGAAGAGACTAGATTTCACAACGTCGTAGTCCTCGTATTGTTCTGCGCTAAAACTCTCCTGCGCATCAGCTACCCGACACGGCCCGACAGTTAAGAAGTGCTGCGGCCACGACGTTTTAGGAAACTTCATTTCTCGGCGTGTCCTATCAAAGTTCACGAGAAACATTCGGATGTCCTCTCCTACCTAGAAAGACTGCATACGAACCTCAATACTCTACCTTTCTCGTAGCTTTGAGACAGGGGGGCGCGCTTCAACGCTAGAAGCCTTCGGTCGCAGCAGTTCCAGCTCTACCCGTCTTAATTTGAGCTCAAACAATAACCTTTCTTTTTTTATAAGCACTGCTTTATTTTTCATCGGCACGCTTCTTTACGTCATCGGCACGCCTCTTTTCTTCCTTTGCTTCACGCTCTTTGGCATCAGCATGGCTTTTTTTTTCTCGTTCGCCTGGTGCTCTTTAACAGTTTCCCAAGATTCTAAAAGCTCGTCGTCATCTACTTCTGCGGCAAGTAATGCTTTAATATTGTACGGCTTCCGTACGGCGTTCCCAACGTGCACTCCCAATTTTGCGCACAGCAATAATAATTTAGGCTTGCGTAGAGAATTAATATCCGTGATCAGCCAATACAATGAATTCTGCACCCTATCTATTCCCTATAAAATATCGCCTAGTGCTATCACGCAAAAGGGCTGACTATTGACAAGGAAAATCTATCAGCTTCAAATTTTAAATGTAGTGGAGGACTCCGTAGTGGAGGACTCTGGAAATTTTGACCACCTGGGGTTCTTTAACGTGCACCCAAATCTGAGCACACGGGCCTACGACATTTTCGCCTCCATCGGAAATGCAGCCGCCGCAGCCGGGATTTGAACCCGCGACGTGCAGGTCAGCAGCCGACTACCTTAGCCACTAGACCATTGTGGCGGGGCCGTCGAAAGCAGATGTCCTATCACAAAGCCACGAGGGTTACTTGCAGCTGCTTCGGGAAAAACACTTCACAAACGCCATGTAGTGGAAGACGTCTCCTCAAATTTTGTTCGACAGGTGTCACGACAAAAACGAGCTCATTCGGCAATTTGTAGGCGCATTTGGGAGGCCAGAAAACTACGTCGAAGAAGGCCGGGATAGTGTGTGCAGCCATCGCCGCTAAAACACACAGAAACTTTCGAAGAGCTCTAAAAATGAACAACTGTGTCCATCTAGCGAAAAACATGCCTTTCCAGAGGCGTTGATCAAGCAAACAACAAACGCTAGATAATGTGCTGCTGTCTGTGAGGCATTGCGAGACTCTGTGTCGCTTCTGGAATTGTACTTTCAACAAACAAAACACTTGCATAGATTTAGCTTTTCATTCTCACGACGCCATTAAAGATGTGAAGTACTACAGCGGCTATTTCACGGACCATAAGGCGATAGTTGTTGTGGTTGGCCGGAAGAGGTCACTAGAAGGACAAGTCGAACAACTGCCAGATAGCTAACGCAGGATGAAAGACAGTGTGACCATTTACGAATACCAGTGTCACGTCGGTGTGCAGTTCATAGTACAGGACCATGTGACTATGTCACTGTACAATATTTTTATGAAGTTGTTATAAAAGTGCTGTTAAAATGATCAAGAACCTGTTCCGTTAATATAGAGACATCACGCTTGCACGCGCGCGCGTTTATGTGCGCGTGTGTGTGTAACAAAACAAAATTAAGTTTGTACTTAGCCGTTGAAAGGCTCACTAGGGGCCGAATTTCGCTGTCGTGTTCAACTCTTAAAGGCCAAGCTTAAGGGTTTCACAATTTTTATTCATTTCAAAGAAAGCTCCACGTGT